AATAGGTTGACCCTCCTCTTTTCTGTGGCAGTCCCTCAAGTATTCAAAGACTGCTATCCTGTCTCTCCTGATCCTTCTCTTCCCTGGACTAGCCATGCCCAGTTCCTGCAACCGTTCATTGTATGGTTTAGCCTTCAGTCCCCTCATCATCCTGGTTGCTCTTTTCCGCACTCTTTCTAGAATCTCAATATCTTTTAGGTATCTTGGTGACCAAAACTGGAGATGGAGTACTAGTCCAAGTGTGGCCTCACTAGTGCAATGCATTCATTTGTTTTCTGATTAACTGTAAGGATTCAGCAGAGAGGACTCTAAATAAAAGTCTGATGCTTTGTAAACAAAGAGCGTAAGGAAGCAGACTCGATGGGCTCTCAGTTCAAAGCTGTCCTCCACATCTTTCCAGCCATCTTGCCTTTTTTTCCCCCTGGGATGTTCCAAATAACACTCCCAACGAAAGGAGACTCCGAGACTTGAGTTTCCTCAAAGTTCTACTTTATTAGAGATGTCATATTGGCACATCTGGGAAAACCCGAATCTGAAAGTTTCCAGGCTTTCCCCACCCAAAAGAAAGTTCCAGTCCCTGCCCAGCAACCCCATGTCCATCACAAGGCCCAATCAATCACCGTCCCAACTGGAGATGCTTCCCAGTCACGCCACTCGAGGTGCAGGGCAAGACGTCCTTGACACTCTGAGAAAGGAATGTTATCTTGACTATATATCTCCCATACTCCATATAATCCCCCCTCCTTTTTCCCTACAACAGAACATGCGTCAGGCCTGAAGGCTCAATGCAAAAGATGGTTTCCAGGTCTGACATGGGAGCTCCTTTTCCATCTTTAGCCCCCTTCCTTTTGGGGAAATTGTCCCAGGGTTGCCGTTCAAGAACCCCATGTTTGCAAGAACAGCCCCCCCCCCATCCTCCCACATCCTCACATCATTCCCCTTCTCCCTTCATGCAGACGTTCCTGGCTGCCCACATCATTCCCTTGTCCTGCTGCTGAATGGGAGGAGAAGGAGCTGCTGGAGAGGAAGTGGGGGCTCTCCATATCATGCAGTTGCTATGGTTGGTCCCGACCCCCGAAGCATTCTTCCTGAGTCTCTTGCCAGGCTGGTTATATCGACTCTCACCCAGGTCTCTGCCCCCTTTATGGACCTCTTAGGAATGGGGTGAGGTCCACGGTAGACAGTTTAAAGTTGAAAGTATGGGGGTTTGAGGATATAACAACAGAGCCAGGTAGAGCACTCCAGGCATTGACCACTCTGTTGCCGAAGTTGTATTTTCTGCAATCGAATTTAGAGCTGTTTACTTTGAGTTTGTACTGATTGTTTGCCCATGTATTATTATTATTATTTTAAAAAATATATTTTTAATTTAAAGCAAACAAAATCCTTCCTTACATGCTGTAGAAAGTGTATCAGTTGGTTACAAAAAGTCTTTTGTGCATCTCTTCCACAGTCAACAAACATA